GCGGCCAGCTGGTGCTGACCAGATGTTCTTCGGTTCAAGAGGTCTTTTCTGCCTGCAGCCATTATTCTATTTAATGAGGCCATTTCAAAGCCAGCACATCAGGATAAATAGGTAGTGTTGCAGTGCAGCACAACAGCCTATATGTTTAATGACCACAGCCTCTATTTTTTTTTTTTGCCTCTTTAGCTTTTCCTTCTGCTTAACTTCTGTTTATCTGCCAATCGGTCCCTTGAAAACGAGCTGCATGAATCGGAGGAGGGAGCCCTGTGAGGATCGGCCCGAAGAAAGAACTCTTCTTGCGGTTTGATAATTAATGCAAAGATGTCAGTGGAAAGTGTTTCAGCCTGTCGGAGCAGGCCAATCTCCAGCATCACAGCCAGGCTGAACCTATTTGATGTCGACACCATTTGGAATTTAAAATCTGATGTGAAACCCAATGCTGGGCCACGTTTTGAAAAATAATAATAATAATAATAATAATAATAATAATAATAATAATAATAATAATAATAATAAAATCCTCTATTATCGTCCAAATCCATGAATATGGATAAAGGTTTGGTAAATAAAAGAAAAGTGTCTCATGGAAAGTGTATTTTATAAGATCTAAAAGGGATAGAGAGACACATTTTCATGCTTTTTCTGACTCCAGGTGGACTTTTCGATGCCCTTGCTTTGTTCTGCATATTTTAATCATTCAATTTAAAATCATTCTGCGGCGCCATTACTCGGTCATTGTCCCAAGCCAACCATCAGCACTCACATCAGCATCTCTCAGAGACTCCTCACTTGCCCCATAAATAAGCTCCTATAATGAAGATTAAAGTGACGTTTGAATGAGGAATGGCTGCTACGCCGACTCCAGAGCTCGGATGGCAATGAGCGAGACGAGCCAACACGGGACGACTAAGCTGTCTCTCATCCAACACAAGCTGTGCAGCACGAAGAAATACATCCTCAGCTTGGGCTTCCTCTGCGAAAGTGGCTAAAGTGTTACAGATGGTGGCCTGTCAGCCGCCACGCAGCAGCAGCAGGTGAAACAGGCCAGCAAAGTGAAACAGGACAAGCATCCAAGGGCCGCATCAGGGAGGCACTTCAGACGAGGCTGATGATACCAATGAGAGGCAATAAACTGGGTAAATATTTTTGTCTCGCCACGCCACACAAACCAATTATCAGACGCCCGCAATCTGCCACAGACACGTCGGCCAGATCAATAAGACCGAGGTTCCCGCTCGTGTGGGAGCGATAACAAGCTTCTTAATGAGGCCAAACGTAGCTGAGCGTACAGTACCAGCCACACTTATTGGCAGCCCCTGGTAAAGATTTGTAAAAAAAAAAAAAAAAAAAAAAGAAAAGACTTAAAATAACACCATCTTGTATTGCAGAAATATAATTTCAAATTGGAATTGATAGATAAAAGTTAGAATATATTCAGTGGAGAGAGGAGCCTTTGACCTTTCCCTTTTTGCATATATATTTTTTTTTTTATCCCCATACTCTTCAGCTTTACGATGAGATTTAGGTCTGAGGCCTGAGATGGACAAATGAGCAGGTTGTCTGTGTTGATTTGGTCTTACGCTTAGAATGGTTACTTTGTTGAAAGATCTCATGACAACCTATTTTAGTTTACTAGTCGAGTCCGCTGGATTTAAAAGAAATGTTCTAGTACTTCAGAGAGTTAATAATACCATTAACTCCATGCTTTTCTGCAAGCTCCACATATTTCAGGTTTATGACGTTGCTCTATCACGGTTTCCATTTCCAACCTTGCCAAACACATAAGCTGGTGTTAAAGTGATAAAATGAACATTTCTGTGCTCTGTGTGACATCGTGCTTTACTATTTATTTTACTTTATGTTTCACATTCCAAATTGCACTTTCTGAAGCATTTGAAAGAAGGTTTGTTACCAAGGTAATCAACCTATTGTTTTCGTCAGTTTCACTTTCTTTATTATTTATTTATTTATTTACATTGGCTGCTATACTCCTAAATGCACTGGCTGAACAAATTAAAGTTGCTTTTTTCATGTTTCATCAAGCTTGTGAAGCTATTGGTGTATTTAAGAGTGATGCACTGGTGAAAAGTTATTAAATAATTTTATAATTCAGTGGATTTTTTTTAAAAAAAAGGCAGATTTTAAGTCAATTCAACACCATTTTTCTGTGTCAGATCTGAATTGTCTGTCAGATGTCTGTCGGAAGTGGAAAAAAGTGCATCATTAATATTTACCAGGTGTAGCAAAATAGATGGCATATGGCTGTAAAAAGCTCTTATGTTGATGGGATTTTTTTTGTATTAATACATATTTGAAAATTCATTTGCATGCTCTGTGGTCAAGTGGGACAATCTGATTCATTGCTGCAGTAGATGAGACATCTGTGTTGAAGATGCATGAAAGAAAGCAGAGGAAGTCATAAAGGACCTTAGTTGTCCTAGAAATGCTCGACGAAGGTTTAAAAATAGCTGGAATCCACAGTTGCGAAAAGTTTGTCAGATTTCAAAGTCGGGCTGAAGCCAGCAACACTCTCCAAATCTTTATTCCTCTGAAAGCGGTGACATTAAAATATGTTGCGCGCAACATCACACGCTGTACAATTTCAGTAACCTCCACCTGTCGCAGGTGTGAATGTCATTGAGAATTTCAGGTACGTGTTTGAACTGTCAAAAGCTTGCAGGAGGTTTTACTTATCTTAACCTCTCCAGATCAGCATGTGTTCGGCTCTCATTATCAAAAAGGCTCTCGCCGGACTGATCGACGCACGCCTACACAGGTAAAGACCAAGCAGCTCAGAATCTCCCTCTTTTAAATCTGTTCAGAGCTGGAGCCACTTTGCAAAGTTTGGAGCACAACCAAAATTGCGACTGAGCTCTTTCTGAACGGGAAGCAGAAGGAAGACTGGAGTCAATCAATAAATTTAACCTTAAGGTTTGCAGCTGAACCCAGGCGTAAAGAAAGATCCGCCTGTTGGAAAGTCATTTTCCGCTTATAAGACAAACATAAAAAGGAATGTTTAAGAAAAAAAAATGAATCCGAGAAAGTTTTTACTTTTCAATAAGTTCTGTCCTAATTTCTTTAGAAAGCACATGGACATTGTTCAAAAGTTCTTAAAGCTGCAACAGAATCAAAAAAGTTAATCAAAGTCAGTGGAGATAGCCAAAAAAATAAAAAATAAAAAATAGAGATGTGAAACATAGAACCAATTCCTGAAGTTTTCTGATTGCTATTCAAAGTAATAAAAAAGTTGGTAGCTGTACCTTTAAGTTGTGATTGGCTCTGTGATGATATTAGACGACTCGTTGTTAAAAGAAACGTGTATTAAATTAGAGACGTAGCAGTCAGGTTTTTGTTAGCCAATACCAAAATTATTTTTTTATGAGGCTTGCATCCTTTGCATTTAAGCTAGGGCTGCATGAGATGAATATGTATTGTGAAAATGTGATTATTGAATATTGTGACGCTGTTATTGAATGAATTTACCCATTTCATCATTATTTGCTCTCTTGCAGAGCATCTTGATCACTAAGATCCATACTGGATGAGGGCATAAAGGGAAATGAAATTCCGTCCAACTGGCTAAATGTATTTTTGGCAAGCAGAGTTTGAATGCAGGGCACCTAAACCTTTTCAGCAAACCAAACACTCCATTCAATCACTCCTTATTATCTTATTATCTCAGTATTATCTTTGATGTGCTAATGCAAAATTATTGGTATAAAATTCGTTTTAAACCAAAACTTAAGGTAAACTCCACTAAAAGAGAGAATTTTGCTCAAGCTGGAACAAATCTCTTTCTCCAACATCAGCAACCATTTCTACTTCTCTGCGAACAACACCTCCTGCAAGAGCTACCAAATGAGAACTGCAAAACACAATGACGCCTTTTTTTTTCAGAACAAGAGAAGAAAAAGACAGAGAACAAGTTTTTGCCTTGAGGGTACAAAGCATCAAACCATGTGATCCAAATGTTAAGCTGAGTTTAAGTTTATGAGAGAGCAAACTGTTACTTGTTGCATTTCTCCATAAAAAAAAGGGATTTCCAACTTATTTATTTAACTGAGTGGAGTGAATAACCGATATTATTTCACAGAAAAACTCAGCAGAATATTAAGGCATTGTTGTTGAAACTGTGACATCCCAGGACACCAAACTTTAGTTGTATGAAAGATGTCACACCAGCATTATTTTTTAAAATGATTTGAACTATTGATTACTAATCTGAGCAAATTAATGGTACATCATTTTATGCTCTATATCTGCTATCTAAATAAATCCAACTAAATTAATGAAAAAGCTACTGATACTGATATCCTGGGTCAGATCAGAGCTGTTTGTGTTCATCTACAGCTCGTATGGAACTTGCTTGCAGTTTATTTTCTAACAAACTGCTCTGCTGTTTCTTAACGCCTACAAATGGCGACCCTTACGGCCCTCACCGCTGCTTAGATGGGACCCACACGAAGAAAGTCCGAGGCCCTACACCACGTAGAAAAGTTGGAGGTTTTTGCACACTCCCTTTACCTAATCCAATTAGAGCGAAGTTATAATCTGCTGGGGGGGTTTTTAAAAAATTTTTTGTGGGGGGGGGGGGGAATTATAGAGTCAGACGCTGTAGTCAAACTACAGCAACACCTGTGAATGACTCATTTACCAGAAGCAAGGAAGTATTGAGTGCCTCTCTGAGCCGGATTCACCCACATACAGACGCAATTTAGGATCATTACTGTCAGAGAATAAAATGCATCTGACTGCTTCGAATGAGGACTGAAATGAGGGATTTACATATTAAAGCCCGATCATATACAGTGTGTAATAAAACATCTGCTTGAGCTGGCTTTTGGTCTGAAACAGATTTTTCTCATTTCTCTCCCCCCTCCCCGCCATTCGGATGTTTCTCTGCCGCGCCACATCTGCGCTCCTGATCTTTAGCTCGCTCGCGTTGTTGCGGAGCGGCGCGCCAACGGTTTTTGTTGTTTCCCCAGGAGGGGCCCGCTCACCTCTGTCGGTGTCGTAAAGATAGACGAACCTCTCCCACTTGTAATGGTCCAGCAGACTGAGAATGGCTCCCTTCAAACTGGGCCTCATCTGGATGACAAACTGCACGTCGGCGTCGATGGGGAAGCTGGGCGTGATGAAGGAAGTGTGCAGGGCGCCGCAGAAGGAGGTCAGCGTGTTCATGGACTTGCGGTCGTAGAAGCCGAAGATGGCGTAGACTCCTCGGGAGAACTGGGAGCAGACTGGTGACACGAAGACAAAGACAAAAAGAAACAAAAAAAAAAAAAAAAAAAAAAAAAAAAAAAAGGCAATTTTCGGGTCACAGAGGAAGAACGCAGGCCTTTAAGTGAAAGTTTTCATGGAAAAGTTGCAGTAGTTTGTGTGGGAAATGTTTAACGTGAGGTCGTGATGAGTGTTAATCATGTGGATAAAGTAGCGAGTATCTGAATAAATGTTTGCCATGTGGGATGTCTGCTCCCTGTGGCCATGCTCTGCTGCCCACTGCCCTTCACTTCTCCTTCCTGCAAATGCTGCTGCTTGGGTAATCAGCTAGAAATAATAGGGAAGTCAGTGCTCTGGTCACATCTCTTAATGGACAAATTCCCTGAAACATGAGCATGCAAATATTCCAGCGCTGAGCCTCTCTGTGCTATAAAAGATTTATAACAGGGCCTATCTGTGGCCATCTGTGGGTCTCTGGAAGCAAATTTCAGCCATAAAAACATCAGATACTGATTGTCTTAAAAGACATTAGCTATTTTGTTTTATTTGCACATAATAAATGGGAACAAAGACAGTAAAAATAGACCCCCGGGAAATATGGCGAATGAAAGAATCTGCTGTTACGTCCATAAATCTTAACGCAACTCTGAAGCCTGTCCGTAACATTAAGTTGCTAAATGAGGTTATATACTGTAAACTGCTCATTAGGAGGAGTATTGTCTACATTCATTGTCCAATCAGTGCTAATAAAAGTTTGCGGAGGTGAGTTCGCTCTGCCTACATGTGCTTCAAAGCTTGCTTGTGCTTATTAAAGACATTTCTCAAGTGTACTGTGACAATAACTGTGCTTTCATAGGTTTTTCTTGATGTGCACCCCACAGTTTCCTGGTCGGAAAACTGAGATGGGAATGTTCAGATAATCTTCTTTAAAAGGATTTTGAGCTGATAAGTGTATTTGTATCAAACCTCCCTGAGGAAATACTTTGCCGAACCAACCGTTTGCGGCAGTTGTAGCTGACAGTCTTTTGGAGTGAGGCTCCATCAACTTTGGACATCTAGAGGATAAAATTTCAGCCCATTCTGTAAAAACACTCCAAGCTCGGTCAGATTGTGTCAACAGCACGTGGAATAATCCGTAAAACCTCACGCCAAGTAGATTTATAAAACCGATCCCTACCTGGGTGGTTTCAACACATGATTATGCTTTGATCGAAACCATCGCATTGTAACTGGCTGAAAGCTTTGGGTAATTGTCCTGCTGGAAGACGAAGCTTCACTCTGATTTTCTTCCAGGATTTCCCTGTATTTTTGCATCAATCATGGTCCTTTCAAGTCTGATCAACTCGTCTTGTTACTGCTGGGGAAAAACAACCGCGCTTCATAAGATCACGCCTCGTCATGGGGACGGTGCGCCGCCACCACATGGTAAGTACATTTTTGGATTAATCTGACGATTAGAGTGTCTTTGTCCACACATTTGTTGCGGCGCCTGCAAACAGGACTTGGGATCGACTCAATTAAGTTAGAGCTTTCCTCTTGTCATTCTTCTGTAAAACTGAGATTTGTGGATTGAATGCCTGTAAATGCCATGAAAGGCTTGCAGTTGTGCCTCACTCTTTCACATGATGGACTGGACAGAAGTTATCTGGTGACCTAACCCATGAAGTTCCTCTCAACTTCATCCCTGGCCCGTCTCTTGTGTTCCTTGGTCTTCGTGATCTAAAAAGTTCTCCTGAAAATCTCAGAGACCTTCAGGGAAGAGTTGTATTTGATGTTACATCACACAGAGGTGAACTTTAGGTGACTCCTGAATGAAGTCACACATTTATTTTGGTATTGGAGTTTTTTGGGGGTTTTTTTTGCAAAATGTGTTGAATATTTTCCTTGAACTTCACAATTATGTGCTACCATCTTTAAAAATTGGAGAGAAATTAACAGTTTGGCCACCTGTTGTTATTACTTGATGTGAATTTTGGCATTTTCGAAAGGATTTTCTTCGTACCCTTTCTTTCTTTAATTGCCACCATCGTGTTCATATCACATCTGTTGATGTTTGTCTGAAAAAGCCAACGTTTCTCTTTTGTAAATAGAAAGCAACAGATTACAGATTGCGATCAATGAACCTTTTTGAGCGGTCAAATTCTTCATTACTCCTCTTATAATCAGGAAAAATCTCTATGCAAATATGTTGAATTCAACGTTAGTTCGAAAGCTTCTTCTTTGTTGTTTTTGCTTATCAGGAATTGGATAATCCTGGTGGTGGAGAGTAAGCCTGTCACAATAATCAACAAACCAATTAATCACATAAAAAAATTAAACTCAATAATTTCGATTGGAATGATTTATCTTTTTGTTCTGCCTGGTGTTTTGTTCTCATCTAGTCATTTTTTGTTCACATAGACTTCATAATTCAATTTGTTGTTTTGTTCATTTATTTTGGATATTTAAAATGTCTTCCAGTTCCAGTGTTAAATGTTCATTAGAGTTATAAAGTTTATTGATCTTTGAGAATGTGTTCTTGAATTATTATGAAATTACCATTATATCACTTACAAATGGTCCCAAAACTACAACATTATCATTTATTGCAATAACGCCCACAACAATTCATCATACAGCAAATGTTTTTATCGTGACAGACCGAGTGGAGAGGTTAGAGCTCACGTCAGGCTACACAAGAAGGTCCCCGGTTTGAATCCTGGCCTGACGTCTTTGTGCAAAAGTTCTCCCTTTTCTCTACAGTCCCCAGATGAGACTGTTTAGCTAATTTCTCACTCTAAACTGCCCTTAACTTGTTTGCCCTGCATGTCTCTGTGCTGGCCACTGAAGCCACCATGGCGGATCAGTCCGTTCTAAATAATAAACTCACAGGTTTCTCTTTGCTTCAGCTTATTAGAACAACGCTGACAACCACGACACGAACAGCTCGTCTAGCATTGATCAATCCTGCGAACATTTTAGTTTCTCGTGAAGCTAGAAAGCCCACTCTCCTGAAGGACTAATAAAATAACGGATTTCAGCTCATAAACATCAGCCGCCATGAGTAAATTCCCATGATCCCAGCCTTAAATGAAGACACGCATCATTTACTTTATCGCAGAGGGGATGCTGTGGTATTTTTCTGCTCTGTGCATTTCAGTTCAGATTATTAACATTGGATGTTTCTATGCATGACTAATATCCAGATGGAAAATGCTACCTCTTCTCACTTTTTTTTTCTTCAACTCCAGTCTTATTCATCGCTGTGCAAACACCCACATCTGCCTGTCATTGTTTTTTTCCCCCTTTTCCTCCAGCTCTCTCTCCTTTCTCCCTCACCTTCTGTTTAGCTTCAGCTCTCGCCACCTTGTTAGGCATAACTGGCAGGTACAGCATCCTTTGCAGCACCCCCGTTTTAAACACAACTTTGAACTCTGCTGCGTGGATGTCTGAGCTTTCCACCGCATCAGCTAATGGAGGGACGCAACAACTGAACTCGAGACGCAAGAACGAGCCCTGCGAAAAGGAAGCGGCATTAGGGAGCGGGGTAAAAAGGAAAGACGAGGAGGTGAAATTTTCTAGGACAGAATCGCCAGTAGGTGCCACAAGATTTAAAAGATGAAACGCTGCCTTGAACACTGCAGCATTTTTTTTTTTTTGTGATAACAGCTCTTTGTGTGTATTGATGCTTGGTGGGAAGGTATTGTTACACCTTGTAGGGTAGGATAGGAAACTAGCTGTTCTTTGGGCTGTTATGTATGAAATACACAACTGTGAAAAAGTATCTTCCCCCTTACAGAATGTTTCTCTTATTCTGTGCGAAAAAATAAATGCTTCCCTCCGCCCCCCCCCAAAGCAACCTACTAGTTAGGGTTGAGCTGTTCTGCTCTAGAAGATGCAAAACAGTTCCAGACTATAATACCATCATTACAGTGTTTAATGAGAATAATGTCCTTTTTTAAAAAAAAAAAAATAAAATAAAATGCTGTCTTTATTTTCCATTAGCTTGGATAAAAATCTTCCAAATAATTCAAATTGTGTCTCAACTTTCTGTCAAATACTTTCACAAACTCTTGGGAATCATCAAAACTATATTGATTATTTTAATTTTTTTTTTTTTTTTTTGGTCTGTGGTGATTTTGGCCTTTGGACCTCTTTGCCTTTACAATAAATAACAGTCTCAGCTTAGCAATATCTTTAAAACAATTTTATATCAATTTGCTATATAACTAGTTGATTATTGGCATTAAAAGACAGGGTGAACCGTTAATATAAAAATATATGCATAATTACATTTTTGGTGAACATTGAATTCACTTCGAATTAGGAAAGTTAATCAAGGAGTTTGCACAGCAAAATTAAATATTGGCAATTAAATTGTCTTTGGCAAACATTTTAGGGTTGAAATGCAGATTTAAATACAAATCTGATTAGCAGGTTGGTGTGCTCATGGTTCACGAATAGGAAGAGTTTATTTCTATTACTAACCTGTCGACCACCGATCCCAACCAACCACGTAAAAACTTACAGGTAATGCTGACTACAGATTCAGTCAGAACCACTGCAGGTGAAAAGGCTGAATCCACCTCATAAGAAGAACTTACGTCTAGATATTTACAGTGTTGCTCACCTTTTCGTCGGCAGCAGAGGTATTTTAATTAGCGTATTATATTTACACAAAATAAGACCGCAGCGAGGGTTAGCGGAAGACACTAAACAACAACGATGACGACGACGAGTCGTTCGCCCTTTTTCATTGACTAAACTGCCTGTCGATGTATCTCACACCGTCCAAAATCATCTCGACTCATTATAACGACCCTCTGGTTCAGTTAAGAGTGTTAAATCACACGGTCTGCAGTATAGTCGAAATGTGACTCAGTGAAGCTAAAGGCAAAGGGCACATGGCTAAAATTATATCTTTTTGTAATAACATTTAAGCGGTTTTATATGCTTAAAACACATCACGCTCTGCAATGCTGCACAATTTGTCTCAGATGACCAACCACATTGAAAGAACAGGGCGCATATAAAGTGAAGG